AATAAAAACCTAAGATTTCTTAACATTTACTGATGTATATGGACTATCCTGTGGAGAATCACAAAACGCTGAGTGATTTCTTCTCTAAAACCTCTAAGTTTATTCTAGTTTCTTTGCTGCATGAATATTTATTTGCACGTTGTGTCAAGTGGATTTATAGTTTCCAAGAATTTTTAGTCTTATTTACATATTTTAAAAGGGTTTTATACAGTAATGCAAAAAAAACTTCTGGAGAGTTGGAGTTTTTTTCTGTTCCATCCTCACTTTCTCTAAAATAGCTAATATGGTACCTATACTTCTGATGAAATCTCCTAAGTGTTAGCTTTATTTTGATACCAAGATTATTCAAGTAGATTTTGTAAATGGTGAGATACACTCGGTTACACGATGGCACATTATTTCAAGCACAACCTGAATCGAAACCCCTTTGGACTGAAGAGGTTAAGATGGGTTGAAGCCTTCTGCAACGTCAAGACGGGTTTGAGCTACCCCTGACGACTAACTAACTTGAGAGAAAACTTGTAACAGAATGTTTTGAACATCTGCAACTCATGCCAGATAATTGAGAATGCCTACAAGAGTTTTAGAGCTTTTTAGAGGCTCTGTCACAATTACCATCCAGTGAGATACTGCCTTGAGTCACTCATTCTCTACCTATCCTTCTCCTGGCACTCGGCAGAAAAGATGGGCTGTGTCATTAACCTCTGAGGTCTTTATACTCTCCCCAAGACAGATGCACTGCAGAGGCCTGTGCTCTTTTCTCCCTTACACCTCTCCATGGGGCCTGGTAGCCCACTTGTGCCCTGTCACTTTMAACCTCACTAAAGTGTACCAACAAATGGACCAAAGAACAAGAACTCAAAAACCAAAGAAAAAGAGCAGTGAGGGAGGACTAWTTAGAGAGGGATAAACAGCACAAATGGATCTTTTTAAAAGCAGAAGGGCTAAATATTCAACAACACCTCTGTTTTTTAAAATGMGCATGTGATGAAGGCCATGCAGGGTTATTAGCAGTTAAGGCACACATATATTGTCTGGACCCTATTAAACCCAAATGAGACAGATTAAACCCTGGAAAGTATTGTTCTGAAGAAGGATTAGGTTGATTAGTAATTGAATGTCATTTGAAAAGTATCTTGTGTGCCTTTACATTAAAGTTGCAACTGMTTTAGTAGTTTGTTAGTTGCTCAGTAGGCAGTTGATGGTAACAAGCGTCAGTGTTAAATTCCACAGCAGCCAGTCAGTTAGCAGCAGCAGCAGAGCAGCTTTGAACATTGTCACCTACAGCTCATTCCTGCGCCTGCTTGGAGGTGTGGTGGTGTGCTCCATGTATGAATTCCTGAGCTTGGCCACAGAAACTCTACTTTCTTGGTGATTCTCTYGGTTACCGTCCTCTCCAATTTCTCGGGGACCATCCAGCTGGTGCCGCACATTTCTTCGAGTCAATCCTCTGGATTCACCAGCGTCTGACACCAAACAGTTCAGTGGTGTTCTGGAAGTGGAGTTGCCTTGGCCTGTTCTGGGCTGGATGTAGGTTGTGGTCRGCACTTTGTGACTATAAATGTTGTTATCGTGCTCTCGTGATCTTTTATCYGACACCTGCAGACAGGTGGTGCGCTCTGGTTCCTCAGTCCTCATTCTACCTGCTGTAACTCCTCGTGTTTGTGTCTCTAAGGCAGCCTGCTCTGCCTGGTGGATCCCTGTTTCTTCATCCCCTCTTCCTCTGAATGGATCCTCTGTGCTCCTCTCCCTGTGACGGATCTCTGAGGGTAGGACAGTTTTTCTGCTCTTAAGAAGAMCTTTTGTTTTCTCACCCTCGAATTCTTCAGTCTCATCTTCATGGAACTGCTGGTGCTGCTGCCCAGCTTTGAATGTGGGACCAGAGGTCATWGACAGGTAACTTGCGTAACTGCCAGCATTTTGTCCTCCCTGCTGACAAGATCGACTTAGATGAGTTTGGGGTTGATGGAGAGGATGGGAAGAGACATGGTGAGGCCCTGCTGGGTCTYTGTGGTAAGATGTCTGGGCCTGGTGTCGATGTTGGTGTTGTTGTCTGTGGTACACTGGGGCWTCAGTAGCATTTCCCATCTCCAGATTTCTCTGGTGGCCCTCCTCCCTGGCAAGCATCTCCCTAACTTTTATTCTTTAGGAAGACAATGAAATGGTTAACTTTTGAAACAGAGACAGAAACACTATATCAAGACAAACAGAACTCAGCTCCTCATTTCTTTAGTTTAAGATGTTTTTTTAGGATAAAGTAAAAAACTGATTCTTAGTAGTGTGATTTTAGGTAAGAATTCTGCACCAATGTTCGACATTATGGTGGCAAAATCGTGCTATAACTCTCACGTGAGTAAATAAGATCTTGCATGAGCAAATTTAAATAATGTGCGCACAAGTTAGCAACTTTGTTGCTAGATCTAGTGGCTTTTTAGACCCCTACAGTGATTTTTTTTCTTTCAAAAAATAGACTAGCAACAAATCTAGCGACTTTTCATAGTGTTTTGGGGTCTTTTACAAGCTTTGGCGACAGCACCATCCAAGCACTTTTCTCCTTTCTGGYATTGTATGGTTTCTAAGTTTTGTAATAAAGTACAAGGGGGAATCAACAATCTGCTGCTTTTTTCCAAGCTACACCAGAGCTCATGCTGCCATGTTAAGCTAGTTCTCCTCCAACACACTACCAACCACATTACACAGCTGGACAGCTACATGGAAGACCATCATCAGAAGGGTAAGTTATTTATGTCTTGCAATGCATAATATTGTGGGTGGCACACAATGACAACGCATCATCTCCTTAACTTTTATTTAAAATGTTTTAGTAACTWGCTGCCGCTATCTGCTGGCAGAATATAGCTGTAAACCTGACGTAAGCCAATGTTAGCTGATTAGCATGCCTGTTTGCCTGTTACGGATGTAAACAGAATCGCTGCCAGGCRGGTCATTGCAAGGTGAACAATCTTCATAAAATCGTAAGTGTACTGTCCACACTGTGTAACATTATTTAGCAGTGTGTCTTTCCATTAAAATGCCATTTTATTATTTCTAATGACTGCATCAATAAAAACAAAAACATAATATCAACACCATTACTGATATGTTTGCATCAGAGGCCCAAAGCCTTGTCTKCTCAGAGGTTGTGAAAATATCAATTTATTATTTGTACATAAAAAATCACCAAAACAAGTCCAATAAAATAGTTTTATTTAGAAAAAGAATAATGAAGAACTGAGTTATATAGAGTTTTTTTAAATTATTCAAACTATTCACTATATTCTTTTATATTTTGATAAAGAGATAAAGGTTGAACGAGTCTTTGGGAGAGGTGGGGACGAATGAGTGATGTGGGGTGTTCAGCTTGGCTTGGAAGTAAGAAAGAGTGGCTTTGAGTTAAACAGTTTGGAAATCACTGCACTAGTTGAATTACACATTTTAAGAAACAGACTTACTGTGTATGAGTAACTTGCACACAACCACAAGTTGACTCAAGACTAAACTAATAAAAAAAAATACCAGCAAAAGATGTTGCTTTTGGTAAAGCAGTTTAAAAACTTTTTTTTACCAGAAAGTAAATTGCTGTAAAATGCTCACATTTTTGTCACTTAATGTGGTATCTCATCAGGCTGCGACTGCTGGAAAYTAGTCGACTCAAAACTGTGAGAAAAAAGGTGAATTGCAGTCTGACTAAATTTTAAGTGAGACAAAGTTACCAGCAAACCTTGTGGTAGCATTTTAAAAGTCCAACTAAAGAAAAAAAAAGGCACTTAGTTTTGTGTGCACGGCTTTCGCAAATGTATTACTAGGCTGTCCAGATTATTTTGCAGCACACATCATACCCACATTGACTTGTTTTGTACCCACATTGGCAGCCCTCTTTTTGATTTAATTTGCTAACAGAGACAAGCAAATTTAGTCCAGTTTTCAACATTGTCAGTGTGGTTTTTAGAAAAGGATGACTGCCTCAAACGTTTTCTGTCAGAGGAAGTTCTCCTGTGCAAATGCCAAAATACAGATCAAGCCTCTTTAAGAAGTGCCTTTGACTTTTGAGAAAAATCAAWTTTTTCACCAATTTTTTGGAACATGTTTAAACCACAAGCAAGAGGACTGCACACCCCTGTGACTCGTGAGGAAACAAATGCCACAAGATATTCTGGAGACACTCGTGAATGCTGTTTGCCAACTAGTYGTAGCCCAATGAGACACCCCTTTTATAAAAAAAACGTCAAGTTCTTTTCAAGCGGTTATTTTCACATAGAAATTAAAATCAACACATCAACAGGAACTTTAGAGATGAAGTTATGGTTTGATGCCAAAGGGACTGGAGCTGGTGAGAGCAAGAATAAGTCAGCAGACTCAACACTCAAGTGCAGATATTCTTAAACTTGTCTTCTATTCAGCACAGGTCCCAACAAACAGAATGATGGTTCTGGGTCCWGTGATGTCGGGCAGTTTAAGAAGTGCTGCTCAAAAGGGTTGGTGAGTTTGGGTTTTAGTCCTTTTGATGGGAAACAATGTAAAGGATACTGGGATAAAACAACCAGCTCAAAGTTTACCTTGACGGCCAAYTGATGAGGGAGTAGGTGTCTCCCTGGGAATCAGTCTGAAGCAGCCAACCAGCACTAAGCTTCGTTCCTGCACTGCTCCAGTGGAAACCCATTGGGAAACATGAGTGAGTAACTGGGTKGGTGGGGAACAGTCTGTGTTGAGTTTGTTTTTGGAACTCCCAAAGGCACACCACAACATTACACACCGCTGACTTCACATCGAGCTTGACCACAGTGGAGAAGAGCTCAACCACCAGCAACAAAACTCAACTTCCTGTTTAAGATTTCACTATTCCTGTGGTTTAGGCATCACTGATGACAACAAAATACAAATCTCTAACTTCACATGATTTGCAATAGCTTTTTTTGCTCTGGCACAACACACAACACAGCCAATAATGGATTATAAATATATACAAAGAATATTGTTTTACTGATGAATCTATTGAAACCATSGTCTACAAAAAGAAAATTCAAAAAGTTTTTCAAATATATAATGTGAACTTTGAGACTCAGGACTTAAACAGAGTAACAGGCCCCAAAATGTTGTTTATATTTTTGTCCCTTTTGTAAAGAGGCAGGGAACTAGTTTTCCTCTGTGACTTGTTTTTCAGGCCTGGTTGATCTTGATTAAACTCAGCTGTTGGCCAGAGAGCTAACCAAAGAGTCACACTGAGCTGTTCTGTAACAACTTCCCATATGCACCACAAAAACACACATCCTGGCCAAGTTTTGAAACTTGAGACAGACACAAGAACACCGAGAGAGGACCAACAGAAACTAAAATAGTTGGACAATAAAATCTATAAAATAGCCTGGTCACATATAGACTGAGATATTAATCTCCATATGCTTCTTTGCTATCTTTATATATTTTGTTAAATGTCTAATTTGGGTCAAGGAGTTCTCASACTAGAATTTTAGAAGAGGGGCAAGTAGAGGTTCACATGTATGCTGATGCTATTAGCTCCATAAGAATGAACATATCTTTTTTATGACTTCAGTTCAATTATCAAAACTGACCAAGTTTGGGTGAAAAAGCAACAAATTTTAAAGAAAGAAAGTCCGGTTTCCTTCGACTCGAGCATTTTTCACTTCCTATGACCTGGCTGACTGAGAATATGCTTTAACTTTATGTAACTCTGTCGTCCAACTTGTGTGTAARCAAGACTGTTATTAAAATATATACCCCACATAAATTTCCATTTGTTATMATGTGAATGTATAAGGTAAAATTTCTCATTGAGCAGGGAATAGAAGCCACAAAAAAGTTAACGTACGCACCAGTAAACAGACATGAAATAAAAAAATGATGTAAATTGTTACTCTTAAAAGGAAGACCTCAAATTATGTAGCAAAGGCTAAATGGAGTCATAGCAGCCACTGCTTTAATTACTACTGAAGATATTCTCTTAAAGTTGCAATCCACTTTCAAAACAATTGACAAATACAAGAATTAATGKCTGTTTTCATCTGAACTGCATTACAAATTATTTTTTCAAAACTGAAACATGACCTTTGACACCTAGCTTGRAAACTGGAAAAAGGTTCATCTTCAACTAAGAATAAATGTGTAGAATAAGAACATGTGGCCAGCTTTAGGTCTTTTAGGAACTAGATCTGTTTCTGACAGATTCACTGCCAGGAAGATAGCTTTTTTGCAGCGTGAGAAATGATGACTAATGAAGACACAGGAAGTAAATAGCGATAAGGGAATTTTCCAGCAGATTCTGGTAAGAACACTGTGTATTCAGATTTAAGAAGCTGGGAACCAAGGAGAAGAAATTCTTTGCCAATAAGACAACACAAACTATTATACATTTAAAATGTGCAATCTATAATAAATACTTGACAAACAAATAAAATGAAACTACCATAAAATGTGAAGAGCACTCACCCCTGTCTGTTGAGGATGTTGTGGGCCTGCTGCTCTATGAACAGATCTCCAGGAGAAACTCCATGTTTAGGTGAGGGAAAAGAAGCAGGTACGCTCATCTTGGGTGAATCAGATTGCATCGACATTACAAAGTCCTTAGCAGATACCCTGGCAGGAATGGAAGGTGGCGTCACRTCCATGTATGAGGAAGTTAAAGACTCAGGTGGAGCAGTTCTGCGTTGATTTTCCAGGTTCATCAGCTTCTCTCTTTCTGAGAGTGAGTCCACCCTGGTTTGAGCAACCTCAAAGTCCGTGTCAGGCCGGCTCTGTGGTGGTGCCAAGCCTCCTGCCCTTGGGTTAGGRACTGCAGTGGTGGTGTAAGCATTCAAGGTAATGTCTTTGCCTCCCTTCTTCACAGATTGCCCTTGGTTATGACACTCTGAGCTCTCAGATTCATTCCGGGTGCAGGCGAGGCGGGAAGGACGTTTCACGTCAAGATCTTGATCCAAAGAGAGGCCAAAGCGTTCGGACAGTTGTCGGCGGCGCTCTGCTTTGTAGCGGGCAATGCGTTCAGCTTTGGACTCCAGCTCCAGGGGAACAGTTGATGAACTCAAACTGTGGACTGGCTCAGAGTGGTTGGAGGACTGGTGTTCAGGTCTGTGTCGAGTTCCAGACTCTCGATCTAGAGGCTTGAGCACGTCTGAGCTTTCAAACCCTTCCATGCTGTGCTGATGGACCATGACTTTAGAAAGAGAAAACAAAGTGAGTTGGAGAAAGTGCAATAAAAAAATTCTGCTACCTAGCTGTGAYTGTCCTACCAGCACGAGGCCCACAGGAGTCAGACGCCCTGGTGTATCGCGGTGTGTCCTCTTCCAGAAGCCGGTTGGCCACCAAGTTTGGCAGTAGAGATGGATGCACCTCACCCTCTATACCTTCCAACCTTCGAGCAATGCGTTCCTTTCTTAATAGGTAAAAATAAAAGTGTGGTCAACCTGAGCCACGCTTTTAACCCCAGCACTACGTCTTTTATCATCTCATGGTAATWTAACTTTTCGTCTTACCTGTTCATTTCCCAATCGCTCGAGCTTGTTGTAATGCCTTCGAATCGTTTTCTCAATTCAGAAACTTGGGGGAATACAGTAACAAATGGGATTATTTTATATATCTGGACTCAAATCTACCCAAATTTCCACACAAACAATTTTCTCTCTTTGTGGAGATGTTAAGTGCAACATTTTTTAAGGAAAAAACAAAAAACTAAATTTACTGACCTTTTGGGAGGTTTGCTGAGAGGCTAACATTTACGTCCTTAGTGCTTTTAGCTGGGTCGTCTTTTTCATCAAAGTAGAATTGTTTCTGGAAGCTGAGAAAAGAAAATGTTTGATGCAATAGAACTGAGCTTTGGGAGTTGGAAAAAAACTATAGGATCAGCCAAATTCTGTAAACCACATGAAGAAAAATACTGCGATAAGAATAATTGGCTTGAATGGTTTGCAAATATTTACAGTAGGTAAATGTTTAGAAACCTACCATCACACTTTTGCCTCTCCTAGAAATGGTGTTTCTTTCTCAGAAACATGCCATTTACGGATTTGAAGAAAACAACTTTTTCATTGGAGCAACAGGACTACAGATGAAATTTAGCTGTTGTGCTAATTCCGGCGCATTTATATTCACAGAATATTGATTAATGTGCATTGTCCTTTTACACAAATAAATGAAAGAAATTAAATGAAACTGCTGGATG